ACCACCACAGATTTAGCGGAAGCCACTAGACTCAACTTCAAATTGACTTCCCATTCCAGCCCAAAATTAATCACCGGAAGCCACTAAGTGTGATCACAGCCGGATTCGAACCCTCACACTGTGGAAGTGAAAAAGTGGAAACCGACGCTTTTACTATTAGGCTATGCAACCCTTTGAGTGGAGAAGCCAACCCAAATAGCCCATATTAAAGAAGGTGCTAGAATACAATATTAAGGCCAAACAGAATTAGCGGCAGCCACCAACCAGTATTCGGAGTGAGCCTCTAATCTAGAGCTGAAGCCACCACCTGTTAAATGTCTTGAGAGCCCACTGAGTCACCAATACGCGTGGCCAGCTGATGGCCTTTTTGGGCTTCTTGCATCGTCTGCTTGAGTTGGAGAAAGAATGAGCCCCAACACTCATTGCTACCACTCTATGCCAAACCATGCGCAATATGTGGACAGTGGAGCCCAAATTCACAGTGGCCAGAACTTCAAAACAGGCTTGCCACAAACAGGATGGCTTTGATCTGGGAAGCCACCACCTTCACAGTTCACAGTGAATTGGTGAGAAAGTGGTGGGGTGAAGTGCCACCATGCAGATGTGTTCATGTCGGGGGCTTGGATCAAGTGACTTGTCGGTTTGATCCATAGGGCTTGGATCAGCGCTCTGATCCATAGGGTTTGGATCACTCTCACTGCAGCGCGGAACGATCCATACCAGGGTTTCTGGCCACACCCATGTGTGTCATCGATTCCCCACGGTCGTTCTTTTGATTGCCAATTAAACCGTTAAGTTTCTGAGGCCACCGAACATCGCGAGGACAATTGGTCCAGAAGTCGTTTGTTAAAACCACTGCGCTGTGCACAGAGCGCATAAAATGTTCTGATGAGCCCATTACTATTGAAACTGAATTTGTATGGGGAAGAGATTTCATGGGTTTCATTCAGACTGCGAAGCATGCCAAAAGAAAAGCAAACAGTATGTGTTTTCTTGAGTCCATCATGTGTCAGCCAGGGCTATGTCGTGTTATGTGAGGCTCATGTGCTTACCGACGGTCTGGCGGGAGCTGAGAGTCGTATGATTGACATCGTTGGGCTGCGCCAGAAGTCGGTCCGAGAACGTGGTTTTCCCACGAGCATTTTGGAACAAGGCCTAGAGGTGAAGATTGAAGACACTTGGTGCGAAGATAGAACCTGTAAAAATGTTTATGCTGTCCAAAGGGCATATCATACACTTTATGTTTAGGATATCATAATACGAAAAGCGTCAAGTATGTGCGCAATTAGTTTGTGTTTTTTGAGCAAGTACATTAGGAAGCAAGTGCCACTGAGCAGGAAGACAAAGTGCGGATCCTCAACAGCATTGCTTTTCCTCGTTTGAATACTCAAGAGCTAAAGGATTCACAGTCAAACCCCTTAGCGCATCCAAACTACGAGCGCGTAGATAAAGCTCTTGCTTCGCATTTTGCTTTGGCAAGTTGGCGTGGCTTCGTTTTGCAAGGGAAACAAACAGAAGCCCTTGCAAGGGCTTTGCGGTTGGATGATGGTCGAAAGGTGGTGCAACTTTCCTTTACTGGATGCCAGCATTTCTCGGACAGTGAGCTTAAACGTCTCCTGGAGAACCTCCCTGGTGATCTGGATTTAGGTTTTTCTGCCCTTGAGACTTGGGATTGTGTGAAGACAGATCGTTTTCCATTCGCAAAGTCATTGGATCAACTGGAGTTGCGCTTCACGGGCTCATCATCATTCCGAAGTGCAGCAGGCCTTGCAGATTTGCTGCGAGAGATGGAGAACCTCGTGGACCTGGAACTCTGGTTTCCGGTGATGAAAAGTCGTAAAGCACGCATCTTTCTATTTATGATGTTTCGTTATAAAGTCGTCCTTTCCTTTGCATACCTGGCTTCATCCCTGCGCAGGTTCATGAACTTACCGGGATTGGAGGAGCTGGGATCTTTGAACGCAGCCTTTCTCTCCTTGAGGAACCTGGAGAATTTGGTTGATCTCAGTGGATGCGGCCAAGTATCGGAAGTCAGGACAGAGCTGCACCAAAGCATCAGGTCTTTGAAGCGGAGAGGTAGCAGCTTGGATCTCTGGATAAACATTGAAGGCTTACCAAGTCGCCGGTGTGGGCTTCGATTTTGTCCGAGGAGCTTCCAGTGGCTGTACTTCCGGTGTTTGCGTGTCATTTGGTGGCTACAACAAGTTGGTGTTGGGTTGACTCGGCTTCGCTTCACTCGAGTCACGCCGCAGCTGCGGCGCAGTTTCGAATCGATATGGTAGGGCTTACTCCAGTGAAGCTGAAGAGACAGAAGATAGCGTTGGAGAACAGCGAGTGGACATACTGGATGAAACCCGACCCTTCCCTTGTAGCCATGTGACATGCACCTCCTTTCATGCTGAGCTGCACGGTTATTGTGAGAGACACCACTGGTTAGGCCTTGCCAAGAGGATATTTTTTCAATTCAACACTGGGCGCCAATATATAGAGCTTAGTTTGCTCATCCTCACGCAAGCTGCAGCCGAGGTAGAAAGCAGACATTTGCTGCTGCTGATTATTATCAGTTTGTTACCAGCTGCCTGTTTTTGCGTGTCACAATCCACAGGAGGACCTGGAGTCGTCGCCTTCATGCTCATCGTCTTCGTCGCTGTGGGCAGCAGCGGATGCATGATTTGTCAACGGAACTACACGTCCAGGTCGAGTCAATGTATGCGAAACATTTGCAGATCGACGTGTCCAGACTCTTTAGGAAAGATGGTGACATCGACATGCACATCCAGCCACACATCAGCAGCCTGAAAGACCATTTCATTGAAGCCAGAACCCAATTCGACAAAACCAATAGAGACGTATGTCTGCCACTGCAAGAGTTCCTCCAAACACGTGATTTTACATCTGGCCCTCATGTGCGCCCTGCTTTGAAGTTGTTAGCGCCAGGGCAAGAGGATGTTTTGCTGCAAGGCAGCGGAAGTCATATTTTGGATGTTGTGCATTGCGGTGTGATGTTTTCATGTTGGCACGGCATGATCGAGGCTTGGGACTTCCTGAATAGAGTCAGGTGAGTTGAACAACATCGAGATCGCGCATGTTCGTGACTATTTTGCAGCTGCTGAGACGGGTCGCAGGTGTGCTGAGATGATATTGAACGTCAATGGTTATTTAGTCCGTTTTCTGGACGAACGCTTGACCCAACTCGAAAATCAGTTAGACAATGTGCGCCGCTTGGCAAAGCAGTTGGGGCTTGTGAGCCATTTGACTGAGCCGTTGCTTGTTTCAGGGCGACCTACGCTACGTGCGCAACATGTGTCGCGACCTACGAGGGTGGCTAGTCTTGAGGGTGGCTGTTTCGACCCTTCAAGCCGTCTCTTCGCTCGCTGCCATGTACCTTGCCCTGCAGTATTTCATGCGATACAGTCCACCTTTTGTCCGTTCCAACCTGCCAAAGCTCATCAATGACGTCAAGTGTGGCTGACGATAGGACCCACCAAACAATGGGACAAGGCATCTGCCAGTGGGCTGCGCAAAAGGTGAGGGCCGAAACAGATCTTGGACCGCATGTGGTCCAAACCCAGCCAGAAGGGCAGACAAAGGGCATTTGATTTCTCAATTTGCGATCTTTGGTTCAAGCCGGTTCGTCCGAAGCGGGCGCGTTTGCCTCGCTTTTTGAAGCGCAAAAATGGGCGCTTCTTGTTTCTTGGCAGAAAAGCGTCGATGTGAACGGATCAAAAACACAAAACACATCAAGGCAACAATGGCTGCTGCCCGAACCTGAGGAAAGCTCGGGACACTAGATGGTTTCTGAACGACAACATGAAAAGAGATGAAAAGAGATGAAATCAAAAGGACTGAAAGAACGAAAAAGGACCGTGATGAGGACACGACGGTAACGAGGTCAAGACCCACAGGGTCAAGCTCTGGAGGCGATGTGACACCGTCGGTGCGAAACGAAAACGAAGTCCGTTCACAATTAGTACGATTCCAAAAAATGACAGACTAATGTCATTTTTTAAATTCTTTTTGTCATGACACATGTGTTCTTTTAGAGAAACCTTTGATGCTTCAACCTTTTCACATGCTTGATGCTTTCGAAACGTTGGCGTACGGGGTTCCACGCTGCAACAAAGCACCAGCTGACAATGAACGAAGAATGACAAAGGACAAGTGTCATTTGTGATCATGTTACTTTGGGCATATGTCCATCAACATTTTGTTTGTGTTTTGGACATGTTGGACACGCGAGCTCGCATTTCATTTCATGAAGATTTCAAGACGGGGGTAGCGGCCCGGACGACTGAAGTATGGACAATGACAGCTTGAAAGGCTCATGTTTGAGCCCATTGCTTCATTGGTAGGCACAGTGATTGGAGACCCGAACGTGCGCAGGTAAGATGATCAAAGGAAGTTTAGAGGAACTTCCGTGTTGCGAACATTTACATTAGCTGTAATCTAGTCGATTTCGTGGCAGGCGCAGCGCTTTGTGAACCTCCATGTGCAGATGTCGTGGCAGGCGCAGCGCTTTGTGAACCTCGATGTGCAGATTTCGTGGCAGGCGCAGCACTTTGTGAACCTCACACGTGAGATGGAGGTAGGCCATGAAGGAGTCCAACAAGAACCAGGAACTGAACATGGAAATGAAGTTCTTGACAGGGACAACCCGCCACGGGATGCTGACTGGTGGGATTTGGAGACCCTCCTAGTCTACCAGAAGGAGGGCCAAGAACAACGAGCCGGAAGCAGAGCACACCTTGAGATTCCTACGCATAGCCTTCGAGTGAAAGATTTCATTCCACTTCACATACACCTTTTCACATGGCCAGCGAAGTGGCCCGAGTTCGACAACGGAAAGCCGGGCGCGCGGATCTTCCATGTTGGAGAAGAAAGCTGTAGGTGCAATATTAAATAGCAAGTCTTAGCCAGGTGCCAGGTGTGTGCCCCTTCTTGGGAGGACGCCTTCCGATCTCTGTCGGGCCCGGCTGCCGCTGTTGAAACGTTCGTGCCGCAACCAGCGCGAAGGAAAGTCAGCAATTCTTTTCGCTGAGCGCATGAATCGCCGATACAATTCTTTTTCACGCCACGACAGTTTCCCGATGCCCGGTAGGTGTCAGTGAAGGTATTCGTTGCACACATGCAGTTGGGACGCGCGGTAGTTGTATCACGTGTGAAGAAAGGGCTCGCCGAGTATATACAAAGCAAGTGCACACGCTTTACGACCTTTTGGCTGCTGAGGAGCTTCACACCCCTGTGGTTCGCCCAGCTCTTCCTCAACTGCTTCTTTTGCCTGGAGCTTGTGACGCGCCTTCGTTTCCTGTGCTGGGCGCTTGCTGTCTGCTTTTGCTTTGGGACTGGCTTTGTTTCCTTAGATTTGTCATCGCAGCCGTCTGTCACGCGTTCGACAGCCACTGCCGACCCATCCTTCGCCAGCTGCTCCGCTCCCCATTTCCTCACACGCCGCCCCTTCATTCCCTAGACGCGCTGAAGTCATCGCTTGATTCTTCTCGGCTGGCGCACCAGGAACGCTTCCACGCCAAGTGTGGCTGTATATGTCTGTAGACTCAACCAATGACACCCCTGGCAGCATGCGCAGCGAAATGTGCAACTGACCATGGCCAAATGCGCCAGCAAAGCAGGCGAAAAGTACAAATTCTGCAGTGTAGCTGCAGGCGTCCCAACAAAAGCGCGCGCGGAACACAATTGAATACATCGCCGACAGAATTCCGCTTCAGCTGCGTATGGTTTGCTTGTGGAAAGCGGAACATTTATTTGCCAAGGTTTGAAGATTACTTGGAACAACTCAATGTCTTTAGCAAGTCATTGCCCTCATTATGTTACACTATATTGTTCTCGTTTCTCCTTTAAGACAGTGTCAGTGTCAGCTAAAGTTTTAGATGGCTAGCTAAGTCAGCCAACCACTGAGCTGTCTGGGTAATCCAACTAAATAGCTACGGCTAAACCATCCAATGGTGTTAGTAGCCCAACTCACCTATTGATAAAGGATCTTGCTAAACCTGCAACTCTCTCCACACCTGTGGATTTTGAGCGTCCCTGCCAGCTTTACAAAATCGCGCTGCTCTGTCCATGGGCATGCTGTCCTATCAGAAGCATGCAGTTGTGAGCAGAAATTCGTCTGTGCATTTTGAGCAGTACATGTGCCCTTTTGCAGAAACATACGTTGAACTTCCAAAGCCAGATTCAGTACTTCAACAATACAAGCGTGTGCTTTCAGAAACATGACGTTGTATTTCTTCTAAGCAAACCCACGTTCTGCTCTGGAAACGTCAATGCAAATGCTGAACACTTGCGCAGCATCAAACACACTTGGAAAGTCAGGTGTTTTGAATCATGACCTCCGGCAGGGCCACGCGACACTCGCGATGAGAAACTCAACACGGTCACCAATGTCTTTCTCCAGCACTTAAGCCACTTAAGCCATCCAGAGTGAAGCGGTTGGACAAAAGATCAAAAAATTGGAAAAGAAAGCTTCAAAGACGACCTAAAAAGCTTCTTGATATTAGCGATGGCCTCCACCTAGTAGCTAGTAGCTTCTAGTAACTAAAAAAGCGCAGTGAAATAAGAAGAACAGCGACCGTTGAGGCGCAAGATGTTGGGATGCCACTCACATTAAGTGGAAAAGCAACTGAAGAGAGGTGTGGCCCAGTGCAAGATGTGATTTCGTTTCTTTCTTGGTTTTTTGATTAAAGAACCGGCCAGAACCGGTGCCGTTTGCAGACCGACGCATGTGTTCGACCATGGAGCAGCCTACACTGGGAGTTGGAGTGGCCAACGCCGGGAAGGCTACGGTGTCCAGGTGTGAAACTGATTGCGATTTCGATGTTCGCAGAAAAGCAGAGCACAAAAAAACAATTTTAATTTTGATGTTTATATTTTAAAAATACGTAGATATTTCAATCATACTCAAGTTTCACCTATACACTCCGCAAGGCCGTCTAGGTTCAAGAAAAGAGCCGCTTTTGCATGGTAGCGGAGTCCGGAAGGGTGAGGCTCATTGTGACGCCGTGGCTGGTGCAGAGGGTTTTCCGGCGATAAGCCCAAAGCGGAACTGCAGGCCAGCAGCTAGATGGAGCAGAATTGGCGGGGGGAATGATGTTGGCGACGGAGGCTGCGTCCACAGCAGCTACAGTAGCAGCTCAAGCTTTGGCAGAGTTGAAGAGCCAAAGGCGTGATGAAAAGAGTTGGTAGACATTGCCCAAGCCTGGAGTCTTTGATCCGAAGAGGGTCATGGTCCTAGTGTGAGGGTCGGCCCGCGGGCCCGCGCCAAGTCCGCGGGCCCGTGCAGGTTTCGGGCCGATTCCTGCAAAAAGCAACCCTTGTTCCCCATAGCTGCAGGCTATAGGTGTTCATCTTATTTCTCAAAGGTGTGGCTCTTGATCGGCGTTTTGGTTTTGCGGGTGCTGCTGCCGCGCTGATGTTGTTGCAGGTGCAGGTGCTGGCTCTGGATCGGCGTTTCGTTTGGCGTCATGCCAGGGATGGCATCAGGTTATGTGACATCGTGTCACGCCAGGGATGACATCATGTCACGCCAGGGAGGACATGCTGTCATATTGCGCATGGCACCGTGTTGCGCAGCAATGATCACCATGTCGTTTGGACAGCTTTGGCTGGTCCTTGCCGCTCTTGCAGTTTAACGTCTGTGTTGGGTGCATTCAGCTGATAGATGTTGCGCATATTGGTGGACTGGTCTGATGTTGCGTGCTGTGCGTGGCGTGGTGTTTGAAACTATACACCCGCTATCTGGGGCTTACGCCGGTGTAAATGTGTTTTCCGCCCCAAAAGAAGACCAACGTATACAGCCAGTCATAAACCTGCATTTTTGGGGGGCGGAGGAAGGACTTCTGCAATGAATGTGGGCAGGTGGAATACGGCGAAAGGCTTGCTTGTGAGGGCAACTCAAAGAGTCAGAAAGACGTTGGTGTGGATAGTTTAGTGGTGGCAATTCACCTATTGATATTGACCGGTATTTGGCACTCCACACCGAGCACGCGTGCCATCAATCCCACAAACCCGCAAGCCTGCGAGCCCGCGAGCCCGGGCCGAGCCCGCGCAAAATGTCGGGCCCGCGGGCCCGCGCGAGGAGACCCTCGCGCAATTACCTCTCCCCCTAAGAGTCGAAAGGAAGAATTGTCGATGTGGCGTGATTTTGCATGGTCATTGGAACAGTACTTATAGCGTCCTTTGATGCCGAGTACCTTGCAGACTTCGAAGCTTTGAGAAAGAATCCATCGGCAGTTGATAGCTCTTTGATGGGAGACAAGGAGAAAAGCCGCAGCTCATTCCCACTAAGTCTTTTGGCGGGACTATTGAAGAATCGACCCTGCTGGTATTGAGACCAGTTGCAGAAAGCACTGGATTTGAGGTCTACAGACAACTTTTGAGTTCCTTGGAACCGGTAAGCCGCAATAAAACACTCGGCATACTCAGTGCTATCCTTGGCTGGTCTTCATTTGATACGCAGAAGAGCATGGTATCACAGTTGGCGAAACCAGAAGATTCTTTTCGAGAGTATGAGAAGACTGGAGCAACGTTAGCTGAGGAGATCAAATTTGCAGATAAACATGTCTTTCAGGAAATTTAAATATCCACAAGCTGTGTCACTTTGAGAGAGAAAGTCCTCGAGTATGACAAGGCAACGTTGAAATGGAGCCAAGCTATGATGTTGACTTCGGATGACAAATGTTTGGCACCCATGGACCTCGATCGAGTTCAAGACAAAGGTAAGAAAGGCAAGGGAAAGACGAAAGATGGACAGTCAAAGGGTAAAGGAAAGGACTATAAAGGCGGCAAAGGTAAAGGATATGGAGGTAAAAAGGGTTATGAAAGTTGGAACAAAGAAGGCTGCGGCAAAGGAAAAGGGGAGAAGCTATCTTCCTGGAAAAAGATGACAAAGGCAAAGGTAAAGGCAAACCGTGTTACATGTGTGGCAAGCCGGGCCATGTGGCAAAAGATTGCTCGAGAGTTCGACAGGTAGCTGAGAATCCACATTCCTCTACATCGTCAACTGGAGGGGAACTAGCAATGCTGCAAAGGGTGATGTCACTGCAACAGCTTTGTCTACCGCAAATGCCAGTAGTGCCAGCATCAAGAGAGTGTCTCAAACCTCTTTGGAGAGTGTTTCTCAAACCTCGCTGGATCCTTTCGCGGTTGATTTGAGAGAATTCGGTAACGAGAAAGGGGTGATCAGGGCAGTCCAATTTTTCTTCATGGAAGAGAATGAGCCAAGAGAACCGATTGAGGAGGTGACATTGTCTGTTATTGCAATACGGGTTACAGCAGACACTGACGATTGTTACCTACAGGATGAGGAGCGTTGGTTTCCAGTAGTTGTGGATTCTGGTGCAGACGCAGCAGCTTTGCCAAGTGAAATGCTCACAGAGGTGGGGCAACCACCTCAGGAGAATCCACATCCTCTTCACGATGCTCAACGCACGAAGATTGAAGTAAAAGGATTGAGAGATGTGTGCTTCATCGTGCAAACAGAAGAAGGGCGTGAAGTATACAGGTACATGAAAGGGCCCACTTTGCAGACAAAGTTCGGTAACCCATCTTGTCGTTGGGGAGATTGTGGGAATGTTTTGGGTCACAGGTCAGAATTCCCTTGGAGATGCAGCGCAAGAGCCTGATTGTCCAGGCACAAGTGGAAGCATTACCATGTTTCGCGAGGGCCCTAGATGCGGTTGAAGTGAAGCTTGGAAACGAGCTTGGGGAGACAGTGAAGTCACAAGCAGGGTGGAAGAAGTATGGAAGTAAGTGGATTGGGATTCACCTGTCTACGAATCATCAGACACCTCTTGGGGTGAGGGGTATCGATCAAGAGACAGCCTGGGACAGGATACCTTCGTGAAGGAGCGCAGCAAGTGGAAGTTGGTTGAGATGGCAATGCCTTTGAACCTATGATGGAGCAGGAAGAGAAAGTAGAAGGCTTCAGAGAGAGAGAGAGAGGTAGAGAGATAGAGCCTCAGTGTTGACAATCTTGTCAGCAGGTGAGCGTGGACCAGAAGATATTGGATTAGTTTGAAGTCCTGGAACCATTGGGAAGTATGGAAAGACCACGTGAAGGAGCTCCAGAATTCGGAATTCCACGAAGAGGAGCATGCAAGGCAAGAGATTGAACGTCAGCAGATGTATGAACAAGACCCTACGATTCAAGTTGGTAGATTAGTGCAGGGGAACCCAGACACTGATGAAGTTGAGGGGTATCACTTTGACAAAGGATAGTCCCCTTTGTGAACTTCGAGCAGCTTGCAAGTTTTTCGGCGTTTCGAAATCTGGGAGCAAGTTGACATGCTTTCCGAGAATCATGACTCGTTTGAGAGAAAGAGAATTGAAGGCAGCTGCAGAGGTAGCAGCCAATGCAAGGAAAGAAGTGCCAAGAGAGGCACGGGGACAAGCCATTATACCAGTTCCCAAAGAACAGGAGAAACGCGCACTCACTCATACACCTTATGAAAGTTGCTTCCTACATAGAGCAAGGCAAGATAGACGCCTTCGAACTGGAGCAGCAAGAATGTCAGGCATTCCGGTCATCAGTCTCGATCTTTGCTTCACTAAGTTAGGCAGGCCATATCGATCGAAGAGATCCAAAAGGAATGGAAGGAAGGTTGATCGAAGAAGAAGGAAAAGAAGCAGAAGATAGAGGTGAACCTGATGGAGAGAGAAGGCTGAAGGACGTAAAGTCGACAATGTGGATGATCATGACATGTTCACAAAAAGGAAGTGTAACAGCGACTCCATTGAAGTCAATTTTGCAGCAAAAGAAGTGATGACATTTTGTCAACCCCTGGGTCACCGCGAAGTAGCTTTCTATGTAGACAATGAACCAACCGTCAGATCCATCTTGAGAATTCTTCTGAACAGCAGGCGTGCGGTGGATTGAGGACATGAATTCTCACTTCCAGTATTCGTGATAGCGCTGGAAACTCGCTGGCAGAGAATGCAGTGCAACGAGTACGAGGATTGACGTGTAGCATGGAGGGTTTGATGTCGAGATTTCAAGTGAGGCTGAATAGCAGTCACCCATTGTGGTCATGGGCAGCCAAGCACTCTTGCAGGATCATGAACCGATATCAAGCCTATCATGGAGCTACAGCCTCTGAATTGGTTCACGGGATCAGATGGTGAGAAGATCATGATCATGCTTACAAGTCAAGAAGTGTGAGAAGAGTGGTTAGACCTTGGACGAGGTTTCTTGCTTACTACATGGGTTATCCATGTCGACGACATCCTGTACTCCTGTACTACGGACAGGAGGAGGCAGTTCAGAACTTCGTTGAAGAACTAAGAGAGAATTTTTGAAAGCTCGGCAAGCCAGATGAAGTTACCACAAAAAAAATCCCTTAAGCGCACCTACAAGTCTGGGAATGACGGCTTGTACATCATGCCAGGACGATATGCCAATGACGTGATCAAGAACTTTGAGGATTTCTATGGCCAAGCCAAGAAGCAAAAAGTGCCTTCAGGACCAGATATTCAAAAAAGCAGATGGATCTGAAGAATTCAGTCCAGCGGAAGTAGCACTATACCGGTCTCTAGTGGGCAGTGGCGTTAACCTGTCACAGGAAAGGTTGGATTTGAGTTTCACGATTAAAGAACTTGCATCTTACATGTGGACACCAACGGCATTGAGCATGAGCAGAAAGAAGAAGGTAGTTGGCTGTTTGAAGTCAGCAGAAGACCAACATGTGAAAAATTCCATTTCCAACAAGAGGACGTGGTATGTGTGTACTATCAACTCAGAAGTGGTTGCTGGAGACATTCGCTGATGCAGACTGGAGCGGACACAAAGGACACGGG